GAAAACATGCCCCAGTTATTTTCTCTTCTTGTCGCATCTGATCAGAATTTATAAAAGGAAACATAACAGGTGAAAACTGTAACTTAACTAAACCATCACACCCTTAGAAAGCCATTTCAACATTTATTCATCATTCCATCCTCCTTAATTTCTCTTAGTCTCATTCGAACGGCAGCAGATTTTGATCTTAAACTCTTTTCTTCGCTTCTTAAATTTAAAGTACTCGATAGTTATCGCTGAGAAGCCAAAATTGGTTAGGAATTGCCAAAATGGATCGACAAGTTTGATTCATTAAAGCGGACATGCCTATTAAAATGTCAAAATATTGGAATATTCAAGAGATTACGACTTTCTTTCTTTCGAAACATGCATTTTCTGTTTTTGAGTCACTCAGAAGAAACATTTTTGGGCTTTTGAGTAATCGGCAATTTAGGATCATTTATTGCAGTCACGATTATTTGGAATAAAACTTTAATTGGAAATTTAAACTAAAATGTTTTGACTTAAGGACTCGCTTCTTTTACAAACATATAGTAACACAAGAAAATATCCTGTCAGTTCCGTATTTCTCTTTTTCTCCGCAATACAGTGACTATCGACCATTCGCTTCGAATTTTCCTTTTAGAATGTTCAATATGTGTCAATTCTATTTTATTTTTTCTCGCCCTTCAAAGTTTCTTTCGGACAAACGATCTTTCCTCAAAAGAATCGCGACGATTTAAGACATTTGAGACAGTTGTTCCCGCAAATGATCTCCAATTGCATAATCAAAATTCCCACTGCGAACTTCAAGGAAATACCTCTGAGATAAAAGTCAAAACCGTTATAATCTACCAACATATAGAATTATTTAAATTTATTCAGTGGACTTAGGTTCCTAACAAGCAGCGAGTTCGTAGAGGCCTTGCTCCACAGTATATCGGTAGAAAGTCAGACAGATAGCACCTCTCCGAACCTGGGCGACCTTTAGACGGGAAAAACGTTTTCAATCGGTCGCAATCCTAACCCAAATAGGTTTTTGAGTAACCTGTTTCTCCCGGTGAAGAGATATATTTCTTTAAGATTTCACTTCGGTATTCTCTGTTCTTTAAGCGTATTTTGAAACACTGTGTATTTTTATTAAACGCACAGCATGAGGAGTCTTTTTATAGGGGGTATTGTGTTTCTCCTCTCACGAAATATTTTCCTTTTGCTTGACACGGATGAAAATTCAAGTATTCGAAGGTCTTCCTTTCTTTGTAATGCGTTTGGATGTCAAGGGTGGATTCTCCTTTAAAAGTGTCGCTTTTGTACACGTTTGTGTCCAAGAATATAAATTCTGAGTCTGATATTTCAGCCACGAATAGTGATTGTATCATGGCACAATGTACATCGAATCTACAGATCTTCTGACTCTTCTATTCTGTCTTTTCTTCTGTTCCACAGACGGAAAGTATTGATTATTTTACCCCTTCCAAAGTAGGGGTTTACTTCTGCTCAGGGCGATAATACCCTCTTTCTACTTTTGCTATGAAAATATTGGCAAAAGGTGCTTTTGGTTACTGTGCCATTAAAAAAGTATTGAGTTCCCGGATAATAACAACAACAACGGCGCGCAAAGCACATTGGTTGAGCGTGGTCTGTAAACCCGGGCAAGTTATAAATTAAATCTAAGTGTGCTGGGGAGCAGAAATGTCGACTCCATAAGAGTTTAATTACCCCGATTTCCTAAGCAGGAAGTGACTTGAAAACCAAGTAATCCTAATGAAGATACAAATTATTCATATCTCTTCCGATGGCTGGCATGTCCGTTCCTTTTGCACTTATGGCGCTAGTTTTATTTAAACTAAGAGCTCGCACGCATCATGACACATGCGTATCTCCGGGGGAAAAGATCTAACTCTATGGACAGCAAAGTACTGTCTCACTTCACTAATCTTCCAGCAGTAAAGGAACGGGTTAGAGGGGAACTATAAATTAACTAAAAGAGTCGTTACAAAGTGACAATTTGTCTGTATCTGAGCACCAAAGACTGGGCGAGAAGTCTATCCACGCTAATGGCCGCCATTGTCAACGTAGAAACTCCACATAATACAAAGCCAGTTATGAAGCTCGCATTAATTACGATTCGACAAAGATTCCACTTCTCTTGAACCAAGGCCAACCAATAGGCAGCGTAGAAAGGCTGGCTAACAGGACTTACCAACAAATCGGATGTTGCAAGACAACGATACAAGAGTTTGGGCAGTGAATGGATTGAAGATTCCTTGTTTAGGGAAACGAGGATCAGGAAATTCCCAGGAAATGCTGTGATGAAGAGTACTATGTTAGCTGCTGAGAAAAAAGTTGCGATTTGTCCTACTTTTCCCACATAAGTGGGCGAGCACATTATTTTTTGAAAAGTTATCGTTTGTGTTTCGTGTGCTGTTGAATTTGTTGCTACAATCATTCTCCAGCTAATGAAACGGTGTCCTTTTCTTCCTTCCTTAAAACTCGTTCCCTTCAGTGACACTATTGACATTAAGACTTCCTTAATGCATTCTGCTCGCTTCAAATTGATTGAACGATTTGTTTGTCGAGATTGTTAAATAACAACAAGTATAATCCTTTCTTGGGAGTGTCTTTCATCGATTAAACCCCAACCAATGGTGTGCACCACAAAGCTATTCATCTGGTTTATAAATTCAATTTTAGTAGGAGCTGACAAACATGTTAAAGATGAAGAAATATGTTAAAATGTCAGTTATGTAGAGACGGACTCAATTTTGTTTTCGTACAAAGCACCAATTGGCTCTATCCGCACAAACAAAATTCCTGGAAAATGTTCATGCAACAAGAAAAGCAGTTCTAAAATTCATTGAAAACCGTCATAATCCCGAAAAATGATACAATTGGCAATTCATCTTCATAATTTTAACAATGCAACGTTAAACAATGTTTTGTGATTGAAAAACACCCACTTGTTTTGCCATCTGATTATGTTGATAAAAGGAAAAACGACTGGTGTGAAATGTTACATAACTAAACTAGTTTGCACACCATTGGTAAGCCACTTTAAATTTTATCCATTTTTCCATCCTTCATAATTTCTCTTAGTCTCATTCTCTATTGGCCCCATTTTTTTTTCAAAACTGAAATATACTCGCTTCCAACAGACAAATTTCTTTCGCTTGTTGCTTTTAAAGTGTTTTAACAATGGAAAAGGTTCAGTCTGCGTAGTTTTGTATCCTTCTTTGCTAATCACATCAAGATAAGAAGTGTTTTGAAATTAGAATTTGGTCTGTTTTAAACAGGCTGCCATGTATCCGTACTTAGGGTAGCTGGATGTGTTTAACTCTTCCCATACAGTGGCTTTGCTTTAAAACTGCAGTTACTAGATTACGCAAAGGAGCGGAAATTGATCGATATTTGATAACGGTGGTGAGTTTCAAAAGAAACTGTACTGCTGTTTTCCCGCAGTTCCCGCGTTCCCGCTGAAAAGCTGCTTTCAATGAAACATTGCAAAGGTCTGTTATCTTCAGTCAAATGGGAATCTACAAAAGTGAGTCAATTGCAAGTATCCCGAGGGCATTCTTTGTTTTCAGAGTGGCACTAACACCGAGGTTCTTTCTTGTCTTCGAAAAATTAACAAAAAATTGCAAGCTTGACAAACTTGCTTCCCGTTTAATTAGTAGTGACGTCAAGATCACCTGAATTCTCGAAATTCGAGCAAATTTCATTTTCCAAGGCTTCACGTTCAAAGCCAAAAAAGGTGGAATTGGAGAATTATGGGCTCACTGTGTAAGAATGAGGTTCTCAATGGGGTGATGGCTTTTACGGCTAGTGGTTAAGATTTTCGTCATATTACGGCGAACGATTAACATCATTCTAGTTCTTACCAGAAAATTCTTTTGTAGGTTAAATTTTCATACGACTAACGGTTAAGTAATTTGACGATTTTTACGCTTAACGGTTAAATTTTTTGGCGGTTTTATGGCTATCGGCTAACCGCATTGAGAACCTCGTATAATGCTGTATCAAAATAATGGTGAAGTGTACAATGCTCCAGCGGCGACGGGTAAAATCCAAAAGGTAGCTGTAATGATACATGTGCGCTTTAAAGTTACTATTTGTCTGTTTCTTATTCCCAACAACAGACCGAGAAGTCTTTCCACGCTTATAGCCGTCAACGTCAACAGAAACACTGAACATAATGCAAAGCTTTATATGAAGACTTCACATCTTGCGTATCGACAAAAACTTCATTGTTAATGAACCAAAGACGTCCAATGAGAAGCATAGAGAGGCTGGGTAACAAGACCAACAAACAAATATTGAAAAACAAAAACAAAACGAAAAATGTTTAACGTTTCTTTTCCGTATTTGAAAATACCCCTTAATTATTTTCTCTTCTTCTCGCATCCGATCAGAATTTATGCAAGGAAGCATGAAAAGTGCAAAATGTTACTTAACTATCACACCATTAGAAAGGCCTTTTAATATTTATTCATTATTCCATCCTCCTTAATTTCTCTCCGTCTCATTCGAACGGCAGCTGGTTGTAATCTTAACTTCTTCTCTTATATTCTCGTCGTTTTATAAATCTAAAGTTACTCGATCGTTAAAGCTGAGAAGCCAAAATTGATCGATATATGATTGCGAATTGCCAAAATGGATCGATAATTTTGATTCATTAAAGTAAAGTATTGGATAGCGGAAATGCCTATTTAAATATCAAAATATTGGAATATTATAGAAAGTATCACCAAACTACCATACAGTACATCTGAGAAAAGTGAAACAGATAGCACCTCTCGCCATCTGGGTAATATTAATTCTGCCTTTCAGTTTTTCTTTTTGCCGACGAGGTTACATTACTAAACCATGGTACTGTGCTTTTATTTGGTATTTATCAGCATAAACAGGCAAACACTAAAGCATCTAGAACACAATAGAAGCTGAAAGATCGTGTTTGTTTCATTCTTCTTTCCCTTTAAATTACGCCTTGTTAATACAAGTCCGGCGACTCCGAGAAAATATATCTAAGTCCATAGAAAGTAAAATGCATGTCGGATTGTCTGCTTTACTGCTTGTCTCACTTCTCTAACTTTCCAACAGTAAAGAAACGGGTTCAAAGTGGAGTTAAAATACATAAAAATACTTGAAATTCCATCAATAAAGACTATATGTGAAGAATATGTTTTTCTATTAGTGATCACAACCAGCATTGTAAATTTTGGTACATAACAAACAACTAATGCTAACTGCACCCACAGTGCACTGCTCACTGCCTTCCTGTATTTTGCCATGTTCAGTGCATTTGGTTGGCTCGGCTGTTTTTGAACGTGATCTTGTACTTGAGCCTGATGATGTCTAAGAGTGCGAAAAATCTTTGTGTACGAGGCGATTGAGATCACTGAGCATGACGGTATGACTATAATACAAGACCAAATGGTTATTCGAGTATATGAAATGTAAAATGATCCAGCGGCGACGGATAAAATCCAAAAAGTAGCTGTAACGATACATGTGCGCTTTAAAGTTACTATTTGTCTATATCTTATTCCTAACAACAAAGCGAGAAGTCTGTCCACGCTAATTGCCGTCAGCGTCAACAAAGACACTCCACATAATGCAAAGCTTGCTATGAAGCTTGCGTCCCTTGCGTATCGACAAAGACTCCAGTGTTCGTAAACCAAGGACATCCAGTAAGTAGCAGTGAGAGGCTGGCTAACAAGACCAACCAACAGATCAGTTGTTGCCAGACAACGATACAAGAGTTTCGACGGTGGATGAAGGGAAGTTTCCTTGTTAAGGGCAGCAAGGATTAGAAAATTCCCAAAAAATGCTGTGATGGAGAGGAAAATGTTAACTGCTGAGGAAGAGATCGATTTTTGCTGTGACCCAACTATCAAGGAGGGGGAACATAGGAATACTTCATATGTTTCCGTCTGTGTTCCTCCCTCTGTTGAGTTTGTCGTCGCAATCATCGTGCAGCTCTTAAAACGGCTTTCCTTGTTTCGCTACGGTTTTTTGGAACTGCTAGCAATACGGGATAATACTTCTTCCACCTGGCCAAGAAACAATTAAATCTTTTAATTCTTTATATTATCAACTCTAAAATCTTCCTTATATTATATATTTATACATTCACACCTTTCTTGAAATTTATAGGACATGCTTTGCATAAATCAACCCCTTAAAAGTGTCCCTCTGGCTGATAAATTTCACTCAAGAACGCATTTTAAATAAGAGCTGATAAAACTTTTAAGGATGAAGATAACAATTAGATTGTTATTTTTTTTGATAAACCTCTCTCTCTATATATATATATATATATATAAAATAATAATAATAGAAAAAAATAGGAATTGGCCCGGTACGGTAAACATAAATTGATTTTTAGGATATTTGTCGATCCGCAAAATGACGCTCCTGCTGAAAAATCGTGTTCAATAAAACATCACGAAAGTCTACTATCTTCAGCCAAATGAAAAACTACAAAAGTGAATCAATTGTAAGTATCCAGAGCACATTCTTTGTTTTCGGACTTGCTCCAAACATCTATCGACTACTCGCCTACCAGCTGTGTACCTCCTCTTTGTAAAACTATAGAGAAGATGGAAGAAGAAATAATGAAAATTCAAATTATTTATTTCCTTCCTTCCTTCCATTCTGTCTTTTCAGTAGAACATCCGCCCTTATCACACTCTTAGAAAGCCATATCAATATTTATTGATTATTCCATCCTCCTTAATTTCTTTCAGGGTCATTCGAAGGGCAGCTTTTTGTGATCTTAAATTCTTTGGTTACATTGTCCTCGTTTTTATCAATTTAAAGTTCCTCTGGCGAACGCTGAGAAGCCAAAATTGATCGATTTATAGTTACGGATTGACAAAATGGATCGAAGTCATCGTTGAGTCTTTAAAGCTTTTAATACTGGATGGTGGATATGCCTATTAAAATGTCAACATATTGAAAGATTCTAAAAATTATTACTTTTTTTTTTTTTAATATGCATTTTTCTGTTTTTGAGGCACTCAGAAAAATATCGATTTGGGTTTTCTTGTGATCGGCAAATAAAGACCATTCATTGTAGTCACAACTATTTGGAATGAAGTTTGAATTCGAAATTTAAACTCAAATTATTTGACTAAGAGTCTCGCTTTTTTGCAAACATATGAGAAAATATCGTAAAAATTCCGTATTTCTCTTTTCTCCGCATGCAGTGACTACCGACCATCAGTTTCGAATTTCCCTTTAGAATGTTCCATGTGTGTCAATTATATCTTGTTTTTTCTTGCCGTTCATATTTTTTCTTTCTGACAAACGATCTGTCCCAAAAGAAAGTCATCTATTCTTACAAACTGCGACGGTCAATTTCCCGCATTTCTTAGACTACATGGAATGAGTAGAAGACAACTTTAGCTTTAGGCAAGAAAACAAGCTGCGAGTTAGTGGAGGCCCTGCCATACAGTGCGTCGTAGGAAAGTCAAGGAGATAACATCTCTCGGCATCTGGGCGATATGAATTCTGTCATTCAATTTTTCTTTTTGGCGACAGGGTTAGAATAATATATCTTGGTACTGTGTATTTATTTGATACTTATTAACATAAATAGGCAATGTTTGTTTCAAAGCGTAACAAAGCCTCCCAACCAATTTAACGGCAGGGCTTCGTAAACTAATTGCATCTGAAAAGTAGGCTTAGTGATCAGTGACACTTCCTTCAGTTCCTCACAGAGGATTATAACATCTTTCTTCGTGAGCATGCGGTGTCTTAGACTGACCTCTCTTCTTATGGGAGACTTTGGTATTTTTACAAAAAGCGAACAAAGTTTACGTGAATTATTAATGAAAATTACGGAAACTGAAAAACCACGAATTGTAACACCGCGAATATATTCTGACATCAGTAAAGGACAGTCCACATTATATTTTAGTTTCTGATCACGTGATTCTGGAAACAATAAGTTTCTCAAATTAAACAATGCTGAACAATCTTAGCTAATGACATTGAAATTCATTGTATAAAACCATAAAGTTTTGAAGAAAGCAATTTAACGGTGGAGATATGAAGCATTCGTTCAATGGAAAAAGTACGCTTAGTACTATACATGTAATAACAGAAAATTAAAACATCTCTCTTCGTGAGCGCGGAGCGTCATGACTTATCTTCTTATGCGAGACTCTGCATTTTAACAAGAAACAGGTTACGGCCCTTTGAAAAATATGTACCTTAGAACATTTCGCTAGTGTCCAAAGATTTATGTGAAAGGTATCTCGACCACGAAACGCTTCTGTAGAAGTAGAATTCGAATCTAGCGCGATCTCTGAATCGTTCGTTCAACCTTCCTAAAAAAAAGTCAAGTTAAATAGCTAAAGTAGATCATAGCCACCGGAAAACCACGTAATGAAGCACCACGGATTTCCTTCAGCGAGGGACAGTCCACAACATAAATAGACGTCTGATTTTAGTTTTATGATCATCAATTTCTCAAATTGAACGATACTTAATAACATTAGTTAATGAGGATAACTTAAACGGTATAAAGCCACAGAGATTAACAAGTCACCGTAGAACGAATTTTTTTTCACTGTGGTGGCTATTGAATCGCACCATAAGCCGCTTTAGTGAAGGGCTAACGCTCGAAACGAGACATAACTACATATTGCAAACACAAAGCTCGGAAAAACAGCTACTAGGCTTTTCCATCAGTAAAAGCCTTACCTCTCTACAGTTATTATATAACTAAAGCTGATAAAAACCGAATGACCAGAAAAGATTTTCAATCGCACTTACCGAGATGTTTACGATGCGGCTGATGTTTTAAAAATGAAACAACAAAATGAATGAATCACTTTTCCCAAACTTCCGAACTTCCGCTGTCAAAGTGTTTTGGGTATCCAGATCACTTGTGTTTTAGCTTATTCCCTGCCCTTCTCTGGGCTAATCGAAATGAAAACGAAAACTTTTAATTACATCATTTTTATGTGCATGTATGCCGTTCTATAAAATGCTTATTGACCGAATACGGTGGGGCCGGACAAGAAAATATTTGGCTCTCGGTCATGAAGCAAGTAGCCTACGTGTAGCCGTACCCTCCCCCGCCGAGGTGAAACGGAGGCGAGGCAACGTCTACGCAAACCTGACGCCAATCGTGTTCCGTCACGTCACCCTTTTGCAGGAAAATATATAATGATGTTTTATTGGTTAACTCCTTTTGTCGATTTTTTCCTCAATTCTGATTGGTTCCAATTGGTAATTAATTTTTTATATTAACAAACAAGCAGGTGAACAAAATGTTTTCACGGTCAACTTTTCAGATAACAGCGATCTACGACAAGGTTTTAAGGAGAGTTTGCGCGACGTTTAGGATAGAGACATTTCAAGGAGAACAGCAGAAAGCAATAGATATGTTTTTCAATGTCTCCGTTTCGTTACCAACTTGCTATGAAAAATCTTTATTGTATCAAGTAGCGCTAGTGATCAGTCGCCTCTTCTCTCTTGAAGAAAGTGGTCATTATATTTATTGTGTCGCCCGTTAAAGCTATCACAGAAGACCAAGTGCACTATCTTAATGTACTTGGGCCAAGAGGATTGTCCGCCCTCAACTTTCGATCTCTTTGTGAACGGCGCTGCGAAGCTAAATTAAAGCTAATTGTTTCTTGCAGCGATTCTTTCGACTGAGTAAAGAGTCGCTCTTTCTTCACGTTTGCAGCGTAACTATCTCTTGAAGAAATCTTTGAAATCCTTGAGATTCTGTGGCAAATGATCCAACTCTTTACGACGGCCGTGGCACTATTTACAAATGCAAGCAGAAACTGCAAGGACGTTGAAATCTAGTTTCGTGAGCGCAATGTTAATCAAAAATCGTCCTCTTCTAACTCTACACCAAAAAAACGATCATAATCTTTTCCTACATCCTTAAAGCAAAGAATAAATTTGAACCCGGACGCTAAATTGCAAATTTACCTGAAAAATGGAAAATGATTACACTTCAAAGTTGTTGCTTATCTCGACAACCTTCACGCTATCACGTGTCCCTTCGCAAAAAAACATTATCAAGTAACATTATTTTGCATAAATTAGAGTGACGGAACACGATTAGTGTAAGGTTTGCGTAGACGTTCCCTCGCTTCCGTTTCCCCATCGGGGGAGAGTACGGCTACTCGTAGGCTATGAAGCAAGGACCTCGTTGCCCTCGGTCCATAGATCATGACCAAATTTTTTTCCGTCCGGCCTCACCACTCAATCATTAAGTACACAGTATTTCGGTTTTTTACATCACACATTTATTACTCCTGATGTAATTAAACATGAAATATGAAAAATGTTATTCTTTTTTGAATAGGGAACTTCAGGCTTTAGTGTTTACCCCTTTGAAATATTTGATATTCACCACAAGATCTATCACAGTACAACCTAAGTAAGTTTCTCTCTTGCAACGATAAGCTATCTTTGCGTGACAATCGACTCATTGTCTTCGTGAACTTTTCCTTTTCTAGCGGGAGAGATTTGCATGATCGAAGCCAAAATTGTTAAAAATACCGAGTGACTGTATTTCGGTTTGGCACGTCAAACTTTCATAACTAATGATGGATTTTGGCATCTAAAAATGAAACATCTAGTTGTTAACATGGATGATATTTCTTTTTCTTTCTGAAAACTGCCAACGGCAATTTGCGCTCTTTAACATTTTTGTTTCCTCTTTTCCCCAGACAATTGCAAGAAACTTGCAACCAGAGAGCAGTAACACCGAGCAATAATTTGAATGATAACATTTCCTATGGCTGAGGTTCTTCCTTGTCTTCGAAAAATAGCAAAACATTGCAAGCTTGACAACCTTGCTTCCCGTTTAATTTAGTATTGACGTCAACATTATCTGAATTCTCGAAATTCGAGCAAATTTCATTTTCCAAGGCTAAACGATCAAAGCCAAAAAACTCGCATTTGAGAATTATGGGCTCACTGTAATAGTATGAGGTTTTCAATGGGGTTATGGCTTTTACGGCTAAAGGTTAAAATGTTGGCCATGTTACGGCGACCGATTAACATAATTCTATGAGTTGTTACCAGATTATAATTTTCGAGGTTAAAATTTTATACGACTAACGGTTAAGTAATTTGACAATTTTTATGCTTAATGGTCAAATTTTTTTTGCGGTTTTATGGCTATAAGTTAACCCCATTGAGAACCTCACATAATGCTATATCAAAATAATGGTTATTTAAGTATGTGAAATGGAAAATGATCCAGCGGCGATGGGTAAAATCCAAAAAGTAGCTGTAACGATACATGAACGCTTTAAAGTCGCTATTTGTCTCTGTCTTATCCCCAAAAACAGAGCGAGAAGTCTGTCCACGCCTATGGCTGTCAACATCAACTATGAAACTGAACATAATGCAAAGCTTGATATGAAGACTACGCCCCTTGAGTATCGACAAAGATTCCAGTGTTCGTGAACCAAAGACATCTAACAAGTAGCGTGGAGAGGCTGGCTAACAAGACCAACAAAGAGAGTGGATGTTGCCAGACGACGATACAAGAGTTTGAGCGGCGGATGAAACAAAAATTCCTTGTTTAGGGCAACGAGGAGGAAGGAATTCCCAAGAAATATTGTGATGGAGAGGAAAATGTTAACTGCTCAAAAAATGAATTGATTGTTGTCGTAACCCAGCAAAAAAGGAGAGAGAGCATTGGAATACTTCATATGTTTCCGTCTGTGTTCCACCCTCTGTGGAATTTGCCGTCGCAATCATTGTGCAGCTCTTAAAACGGTCTTCCTCCTTTCGTTACTGTTTTTAGGACCTGCTAGCAACAAGGAATAATTCTTCATCACAGCAACCACCGGCCCAAAAAACAATTAAATCTTCTTTTTTTTGTATTTACTATGAACATCAAAAGTTTCCTCAATACATCCTACTCTTTTTAAATTGATTGAACGAACTGTCCGTCGAGACTATTACGTGACAATACATATACAACTTTCTTGAAATTCGGAGGGTGTAACTTGCATCAATAAACCCCATAAGGTGTTCCTCTAAATAAATCTCATTGAAGATCGCATTTTAAATAAGAGTTCATAAAAAAAAATTTAAAGATACAAACCTCTGTCCGTTTAATATTTTAAAA